CGTCAGCCCATTCACTCGAGTGAGCGCTCCCCTCACCTGAGAGGCAGCTGAGCTTGCAGACAGGTTCGTTGTGGGAGATTCTTATTGGGCGCGAAAAATTAAATGGTGATACTTGTCTTGTGGTCCGGAAACACGGCGGAGCAGCGGCCCCCGGCACCCGCGGTCCCCCCGCGGAGCTTTGCGGGCCGGCGCTGCTGCCGCGACCTCGGGACTGCTCCCAGTTACACAAACACGGCTGTCTGTGCACACAGACATACCTTGGTGTATTTTTAAAAAACTTGTGTGAGAAGAAGTTCATAGAAACTGGTAGGCACGGTACAATTTATTCAGCATAAGATTGCCATATTTTGTTTACTTTTTTACTGATTGTACGATAGCAAAGGATTGGTGAGGATATCGTATACTTTTGAAGGCCAATACTGGAAGTTTCAGAATATAAAAGATGATTATTTTTGAACACTTAATTTGTATATAAAGTGTATATTTGGCAAATTGATTGTGTAAGTCTTTGCTTGTTTCTGGACACCGTGAACAAACAGAGCTGGACTCTAAATAAATCTCCAAAGTTTGCAGCCTTATAATTTTAAGTGGACTTTAAAAAGTTCACAAAAGGAGTGATCTTGAATGGATCCTGTATTGAATTTTACATCCTTTCCAGAATTGATTGATTTATTTGGTTTCAGTTGGTTGGGGTTTTCCCCACAGCTTAGAAGAATGCTTGCATCTGTGGTTTCATCTTATAAATAGGTGAATTGTCCAAGGATTTAAATATGACTGAATTGCCAAACGGATAAATTTCCACACTGTGTAAAGAGTTTTTACTCAGCTGCAAAGGCCTGATAGCGGCAATTAACTGTAGATAGATCTCTATATTGTTCAATGCTTCCGTTGTTATTTTAAAATGCTTCTTGACATTTGCATCAACATTGTTACGATCGAGATAATATTTAAAAAAGGCAGATTCTAGATCTTTTCAGGGATTGAGTGCTGGTTTCTGTGTTTGCCAATATTTGCTAGACTTTTTTTTTTTTTTAGTGGTAGCAGTAAAATGTACCTTTTTCGATAGTAGTAGTATCTAACAACTGTAACCATTTTCTTTCTAGTGTATGAAGCATGTTTTTACCACGATCTGTTAAAGTCAAGAGGACTGCTGATGGAGACAAAAGTTGTACAGCTAAGAAAAATAAACTGTCTTCTGAAGGATTTTTGCTAGAGGAGACCACAGAATTCCAGGACTGTAAGTCAGTTAGAACAGAAACTTCTGCTTCAACAGACAGTTCAAGTGAAATTGTGAAAGAACACACAGAACCTGCAGCTGCAGACCTTGGTGTTGCTCAAATACCACTGAGAAAGGACAGCCAAAATACTGAGGATGATGGCTCTTTGGAAGAACCCATAAAATCCTTCAGCAAATCCCAGCGCTGGGCAGAGCCTGGAGAACCTGTGTGTGTTGTGTGTGGCCGCTATGGGGAGTATATCTGCGATAAAACAGATGAAGATGTTTGTAGTTTGGAATGTAAAGCCAAGCACCTTCTACAAGCTCAAACAAAGGAAAAACAGCTAACATCTGATCAACCCACAGATTCTCAAGCAGAAGCTCACCTGCTTAATACACCTTACTTCTACAAAGATCATTCCTTTATTTTAGGTTTGCAAGATGAGCAGGTTGAGAACCTTAAACTCCAGCTAGGTATTGCTGTCCAGGGCCAGCAAGTTCCAAGACCTATTGTAGAGTTTGAACACTGTGGTTTTCCTGAAGCTTTAAACAATAATTTAAAGAACTCTGGCTATGAAGTCCCAACTCCCATCCAAATGCAAATGATCCCTGTTGGACTATTAGGGAGGGATATTCTGGCTAGTGCTGACACGGGCTCTGGAAAAACTGCAGCTTTCCTGCTTCCTGTTATTATGAAGGTTTTGAAAGAGGTAATGAAACTTCAGATAGTTGGATTGTCTGTTGGATTCCCAGTGTAATGGAGAATGTGATTGCGGTGTTTTTCATTAACATTCAGTGATTTATTTGACTTTTGATTAATCAAGCATTTGGTTGTTGAAGTGGGGAGATGCTGATTATTTTTAACTAAATTGAATGTTTTTTCACTTTGGTCAGGAGATGAAACTCTGTCAATATTACCTATTACACAGTTCCTGCTTGTTGATAAAAGTTAATTAAATTCTGTGGTAAACTTCCTAAATGACTTAGAATAGAAAGTGAAAATAATTCCAGGCCCTCTGTACGTTCTTCCTGTATCTTCATATATCAAATGGCTCAAAGAGATTTGTTGAAATTTGTATAACTTCACAGAGTAATTTCTCTTGGAATATATTTGGTTGACTGTCAAGTAATTACAGGAATTTGGGATAAAAAAAAAATCTGAAATCCTCTAGTTACAGAAACTGCACTTTTAAAATGTGGAAAAAGAATTAAGAAAATTGCTGCTTTGTAAAGACATGAACGTATTATTAGAAGCAGTGGCAAATAGTATTCTGTACCTTGTATGCGGTTCAGAACTGTGATTTGCTTTATGGGTTTTATTCAAAAAGAGATGCATAAAAATATTTTTGAGAATTTTGGACATGATTCTAGTGATGCTTTGCACTGTTTAGATACCTTATTGAATGTATATACACAAAGCATGTGTAAAGTTTTTCAAATGACTAATTGAAAGATTATTTAAGTAACTCTTTTATTCTTTAAAGTACTCTAGTAACTCCTGAACTCTAGTTTAAGAACAAAAGCATTATATAGAAGTAGGTAGGAAAAAACCCACTCCAGTCGGTCCTCCTGATTATCATTAAAGTATGCAGGACAGATGTATGTTTATAGTAACATGTGCAGAGTTGGATTCTCAATGAAAAATGCATCTGTACACAATCTTTCCCATTCTTCATCTTCAGCGTACTGGACAAGTTAATGTATATATTGAGAGATAATTTTATTTTGCTGCTTAAAATTATTTTTAATGTAAAAGATTACTTTGGGAAATTTGAAAGCTTTTTATCTAAATAATAAGCAATTCCACATTTATCAGATTTTCCTCTCCTTTCCAGACAGAAACTCCATCTGCCCTTATTTTGGCACCAACGAGGGAGTTGGCAATTCAGATCGAGAGGCAAGCGAAGGAGCTGATGGCTGGGTTACCCAACATGAGGACAGTTCTGTTGGTGGGGGGTCTGCCCCTGCCCCCGCAGCTGCACCGGCTCAAGCAGAGTGTGAAGGTGAGCACTGACTGAGTGTGGAGAGCCACGTTGTCATCACATTGACAGAAAAGAGACATGTGAACTGATAATACCTATCAACACACAAAGATGGCTTTCTCCTAAGTCTAAACTACTGAAATATTTGTTACCTCCTGAAAATTGTACAGTTACACAATTTTTTAAAAACTTTTTCACTTCTGATTAAACATCTAATAGCTTTTTTAGTTTGTTTTTAAAAAGTTTCATGTGGGATATTTGCTTTCATGCTTTCAAAGACTGAAATATGCCAGTATTTTACACAAAGAGTTGTAATTGAGAGGAAAAAGTTTGTTTTTCATGCAGATTTTATTGCTTGTAACTCAGACACTTCCATTAGAGTTTTAAAAGGTCCATTTCCTCTTAGGGTGTCATAAGTTTTCTAGAAGTTTTATGACTTGCTTAAATGCAAGTAATTTCAATTATTACTGCCATTGTTATGTATGTTATGGAATTTTATGGTTTTTCCAGGATGGCCCTCTTTCCTTTCATGGAAATTCTTACTCCTGTGGGGTTTTTTCCTCTTTTTTTTTTTTTTTTTTTTTTTTTTTAGGTGATAATAGCAACACCTGGAAGACTTCTTGAGATTTTAAAGCAAAGTTCTGTTCAACTGCATGGCATAAGAATTGTAGTGGTGGATGAAGTAAGTTTTTATTTATCACATCTCTATTACCTATACAGAGATCCTGGAAGAATAATGTGAGTGGCTGGTCTCACTTACTAAACAAATAGAGTGTCTGTTATAAAAATACAGTATATTCCTTAGGAGACAGTTTTATTTTTTGACACAATTTGAAATGTGTTTAAACAACAGATGTTCTATTGCTGTAAAGATTTAGGTACCTGATCGGATAATACTGTTAGAGGAGTGTGAGCCATTTGTTTTTAATTTTCACACTTACCTCTTCTTCTGACTATAAATTGCATTTGGAAAACCCTGCATTTGGATTGTTATATGTTACATTATGGTTCTTCTGTCAATTTAAGTTAGGATCCTGCTGTTCCTGGAAAAAATGTGGTACAAATCTAATATTTTTCATTTAGGTGGACACCATGCTAAAAATGGGTTTCCAGCAGCAAGTATTGGATATTTTGGAAGACATCTCTCATGATCATCAAACCATACTGGTGTCAGCCACGATTCCAGTGGGCATTGAGCACTTGGCAAATCAGCTTCTGCACAGTTTTGTCAGAATAACAATTGGAGAGAAGAATCTGCCATGTTCTAATGTTCGGCAAATTATCTTGTGGGTAGAAGAACCATCTAAAAAGAAAAAACTGTTTGAAATACTAAATGTAAGTTTAGTATTTTTCTCATAAGAGCAATTTATAAAATGATCCATATCTTTCCACATCTCTGTCAGGTTCTCATCTCATGATCAGGAAAAGTTGAACCCATGCTGATGATGAGCAGCCAATGGCTGTAATCCCTTTTTAAAGAAATTGTTTAATTTTACAGGATAAGAAGCTCTTCAAGCCTCCAGTGTTGGTGTTTGTGGACTGTAAACTAGGAGCAGATCTTCTGAGTGATGCTGTTCATAAGATTACGGGATTACAGTGCGCAGCTATGCATTCTGAAAAGTCTCAGATGGAAAGAACAGACATATTACAGGTTTGTGCCTGCTCAGTTTAAGGGTGTTCTGGTAGATTTCAAATGGCCTTTTTTTCATATGTGGCTTCATTTGAATGATTGAAGTCATAATTGACTGCTTTTCTGCAGTAATACCTGAGGTATTGCTGGGGGAGATGAGAGACAGACAGGACTAAGCAAAACTGTAGATAATAATGCTATTTTAAATGTAGATAAATACAGAGACTTTCCCAGATTATTTGAAATGGGAACTTAAATAAGCATTTAACTGTAACTGATAATTTTTGGAATTTAAATTGTGGGTTTGATCTCTCTTTGGTTATCTCTCTGAATTATATTCCCATTTAAATCGAGAATACAGAGGGCCATTCTCTCTTGTAAAATAGAATAATCCCACTGGCTGTGTTCTTACTCCAAATAACTAGCTGTTAACCTATGCTTGAAGAGGTTCAAAATACAAATAAGGATAAAAGAATTAATTTTGGTTTGTTCCTTCCTTACCAGGGATTACTTCAAGAGAAGTATGAAGTTATAGTAAGTACTGGAGTCCTTGGACGAGGGCTTGACCTTGTCAATGTCAAACTGGTGGTGAATTTTGATATGCCTTCAAGTATGGATGAATATGTACACCAGGTAAATAAACAAATTGTTAATGCTTTATTTGAAAAGTATATTGAAATATGGCATGCACCTGTGGAAATTTAAATGTAAACAAAAAGATCATTTTCCTCTTCAGAATATTTTTTCATAGGAAAGGGAAAAACAGTGCTGGATATTTCTTCTGTAAGTCTCTTACATAAATTTCTCAAATCTAGAGTACTGTTCCTATTATCTTCTATAATATAGTATAATATAGTATATCACTAAAACCTAGAAGAGTGTCTTTAAATCGCTTACTTTTGCAGTGTTATTCTTTCTGTTTTGAACTGTCTTGTATCATTTTGCATCTATAGAAAACAAAATTTACCCTTTTTTAATTGTGTGAAGAAAGGCCAAATGTCCCTCTTGCAGGTACAGCTCATCCTCAGTGTGGGATATGCAGTAATAGTCAGGAAAGCAGTCATGAACTTGATTTCTTCCCCTCTTTCTAGTCAAGCATCTCCTCTGATTTTTTTCTCTGTGCATTTCCTGCTTTAGAAAAGATGATCTGTGAGTTGCACGTGTGTGTGCACTTGTGTGCAAAGTCCCCAGGCCTAATTTAGCTGGCACATCAAGAGAACTCATTCTTGCCCTCTTTGCGGCATGAGGAAGACACAATGCTACTGTGTGCAGTCCTGAGAACATCAGCCATGGGAAAAGGCAGCAAACTGGAGGCAGTCCAGGTGAAGTCAGGGGGCTGGCACACGTGACACTTTAGGACAGGCTGAGGCAACTGGGCTTGTTTGGGCTGCACTAGAGACTTAATTGCTGTCTTCCATTTAGGTGATTACAGAGGAGACAGAGCCAGACTGTCCTTGAAGATGCCCAGGGAAAGGACAAGAGCCAGCAATTGTAACTTCCTGCAAGGGAAATTGTGGCCTCATAGCAGGGAGAAAGGATTTACACAGCAAGAGGGGTCAGGCAGTGGAAGAGGCCAGAGGGATGATGGGATTTTTGTGCTTCAGACTCTTGAAACAAGAGGGAACTGATCTGACTTTGAAGTAAACCTTGTTCTAATCAGATGAGGAGCACCTCTGGAAGTTATCCACTGTAATGGACTCCTCAAGTACCCTGTGTTATTAACTGCAGTATTCCCCTCTGTTTTTAATTATCTTTCTGCTAAAATTTCAAGCATGTTTTAAGTAGATAAAAATGGTCTTCCCTAGCATCAAAATGATACCAATATTAACATGTTAGGTGTTCCTAAATAGAGAGTCTTTGTAGATTCTTTTCTAATTTGTTCAAGCAGCTTAGATAATACTGGTAAATAATTTAAATTTACTAGAACACTGAAAGTAAAGGGCATTTTTATGGCCATGCTGGCACATATTGTGCTTGATATGAAGTATAAGCATTTGGCACCTCTACAGTATTTTTTGAGCCCTTTTGTTTGGATCAGATTTACTGTAAGCCTTTGCCCATACTCTGTACCTCATACCTCAGTATCAATATTGGATTTCTGGTAAGTCACATAAGTCATAACTTTAAATGCATTTCAGTTACAGCTTCAGATCAACATATCCTGAATTCAGGAAGTTTATTGTAAGTACCTTTGTGCTTAGAGGATGGGAGAGATTTGGCCCTGTCACTTAGGTTTATTTGCTGTTTCGTAACAAAAAAATAAACTGCTAAGACTATTTGAAGGACTTCCACTTAATATTGTTAACTTAGAATGAATTTATGCTTTTTCAGGTTGGAAGAGCAGGGAGATTGGGTCACAGTGGAACTGCAATTACTTTTATCAATAACAACAGCAAGAAGCTCTTTTGGGATGTTGTGAAGAGAGTAAAACCCACAGGCACCATTCTCCCCCCACAGCTGCTTAATTCCCCATATCTGCATGACCAGAAGAGAAGGGAACAACAGAGACTTAAACAGTTACAGAACAGCCTTGTAACAGGAGATAATATTATGGACATTATTAAAAAACACAACAAAAATAATTCTCAGAGGTAATAAAGGCATATTTATATATTATGTAATTACAGTAAAGGTATGATTAAAAATAAATATGAAATGTTGCCTTGTATATTGCATTTTTGAATGAAATTTGTACCTTTTTTTAAGAAGTCTCCTTTAAGTATAATTTTATCTTGAAATACAGACTATTGTGTGCTTGAATTACTGTAGTACCTAGTAAAAGTATTCTGGAACTCTTTCAAAACCAGTAGTCTGTGGTCTTGCTGGCAAGAAAAAGAAATGAGTGGCAGATTAGCCTCTGAAAATCTCTTCCTGTTAGCTTAAATAAAGTCTTCCCCTGGGAATGTTTCTACAAGTCCTCAGTATGCTCTCTTGGGGTTTCTTAAGAACATACATACAAGTTTTGCTTGTAAATAGTACTGAAAATTTAGTTTCTCCATTAGTACTTGTGGACCAGCTGGAAGTTCTGCTGAAGCAGTTTGCAGTACCAGAAATTGTTACTAGTTGTGTGTAACTTCATGGAAGAGGAATAAGATAAAACCTGTAATTTTGATTTTATTTAATCAAAATTATGTCGTCTTTAGAGATGGAATTTGTTGATTTTTCTGTGTAATTTGGAATAATCCACTCCTGCATATAAAATGTTTTTGTGTCACTCTCCTGTGGACGAGTTTAGGCACTGGTATATTTAGAAGCATGGGCACCCCTGCTGTACCAAAATTCTACAAACTGTGTTCAACAATCATGAAATCAAACAATTCTACACCACGTTTGCCCCAGGAACTAAATGCAAGTACAGGTTGTGTAAAAGTAAAATTGTATCAACAACCTGGTTCAGTTATCTTGTAGCAAGCTTTCTACTTGTTTCTAGGTATAGATGGTTTAGTATATTTTATTATCAGCGGATCTTTCATGCGCATATATATCCATTGATTCCAGCACCCTGTTTTTATTTCTTCCCCTGGTGCTGGAGTTCCAACATTGCATAAGTATCAAGTCCATCCTGTCTTCATTTAGTTCCTTTCCTACCCGTTTTTTCCTCCCGTTTTCAGCGGTGCTTTGGCTGTACAGGGCAGTGCGTGCAGCTGCAGTACCCGGTCCGGGTCCGGGACGGGTGTCCCCGCGTGGGATCCGGGTGGGCTCGCAGCGCTCCCCGGGCGCCGTGGCGGTGCTGGCTCCGCGCTCTGCGCCTCAG